AAAAAAAAAAAAATTTTATTTTTAATATGAGTGTTCTAGCTCTAGATAATGTTAGCTTGGCATTAATATAGATTAATATAGACTAGTTTTTCTAGAGTATCCAAATTAGTAAGATAATGATGTTTATAGCCACAAATCTTAATATATTTAAGCATTCTTGCTTTTAGAGAATATTTTCCTGATTTTAAAAGTTATAGGCAAAATAGTATTTCTTCAGATTTCTTTTGATGAAGTAAGTATGTTAGGTCAAAAATATTATTTTCCTCTTATTGGCTATGGAGGGGAAAAAATTCTGGTTTTAACCCTTTAAAAGTAAACGTGTTTTGTGTTTTTTCCCCCTGTGTTTACATTAAAGTTGGTGCCATAACAGTGAAGTTAAAAGATACCTAGAAGGTGAAAGAGATGCTATAAGGTAAGTTAAAGATCCTCAAAAACTTGATTGGGGTGAGAGAAAGGGTGGAATCAGGATATAAGTGCTATATTCCTTCAGAAACTGACTTCTCACGCCTTCAGTGGTTCCAGAAGGTTGAGATATGTTGCCTTCATATTTTCTTCTTAATCTAATGAGAAGAGTCTATCAAAGTCAGAATTATGAACATAAATATACTACATTCTTGGCAGAGAAAGCAAATAACAAAGTTATTACATTTTAGCAAATAACAAAGTTATGTATATTATATATATATATTTGCTTTAAAAAATATAACACATCTCCTAGGTTTTTCTTAGCTCTATTTTTTTCTGTCTTTCATTATGGGAAAACTCTTCAGAAGTGTGAAGAGCAAAATAATGAGGCTCCACATACTTGTCATTCACCTTCAATAACTATCAGTCAAATCATGGCCAGTCATTTCTTATCATTATTTTTCCTTCATTTCTTTTTACATTAATTCTATTCTGATTCTGTAGTAAAGTGTGCTCTACCAGATCCTAACAAGATGTGTCTCAACTGTTATTGTACAGGTTGCGCATCTCTAATCCAGAAATCTGAACTTCGGAATGTCCCTATGAGCGTTCCTTTAAGCATCATGTTGGCACTCACCAAGTTTCAAATTACGGAGCATTTCAGATTTCAGGTTTTAACATTAGAGATAGTCAACTTGGATTAACAGTTGAGATGCATTTGTTATGATCTGGTAGAGCATGCTTTACTACAGAATCCAAACAGAAGTAATACAAATATTCCAAACTCTAAAGAAATTCAAAACCCAAAGCACTTCTGGTCCCAAGCATCTCAGATAAGGGATACTCAACCTATATCTCTTAGTTCTGGTAAATACACCGTCCATAAAAGTCAGAAGACTAGAGATTATCTGTCCTGTTTGTTTGCTTTTACACATCTGGAAATAACACTCCAATTTTATTAGGTTGGACCACATGAAATGTCCGTTTATAAGTCAAAAATGGTTGAATATCCAATTTCATGTGATTGCACCCTGATGTCAGAAAACTCTTAATAAGTGGAACAGTAATCCTCAACCAGAAGTATACATCAGAATAACCTTGGGAACTTGAAAAAATACTCAGGCCACTACCTACTGAATCTAATTTCTCTAAAGTTACAGCCCTAGCATGTCTATCGCCTCAAAATTCCCCCAAGTGATTTTGATACGATTAAGAACTACTGTCTAAAATAATCCCCCCTTCCGTTTAACTCCATTTCTTGTCTTGGCAATAGGTAAAGTAGTGAAAGGCCACACCGTGTTACCCGGGCTAGGCAGGTATGTGCACATGGAAGTGCCTCGTAGTATAATATGACCTAAATTAATGGAGCATTTTTTTAATTTTTCCCTTTTTTTCCAGATATCCAAGAGAATCTAACAAATTAATAAACCTTCCAGAGGATTACAGCAGCCTCATTAATCAAGCATCCAATTTCTCGTAAGTTTTGCTGTTAGCATTGAACATCCCTGCCACTGGAAACACCTCTCTACAAAGAATTTGAAGGATTTTGTTGTTGTTCTTTGTTTTGTTTGGGTAGAGAAATCATATTTTAGTACTTTATGAGAGGAGGGAGAGTAAAAAGGGAAAAAAGAAGAAACTTGACCAGGCTCAGTGGCTCACACCTGTAATCCGAGCACTTTGGGAGGCCGAGGTGGGTGGATCACCTGAGGTCAGGAGATCCAGCCTGGCCAACTTGGTGAAACCCTGTCTCTACTAAAAATACAGAATTATCTGGGCATGGTGGCAGGCACCTGTAATCGCAGCTACTCGGGAGGCTGAGGCAGGAGAATCACTTGAACCTGGGAGGCGGAGGTTGTAGTGAGCCAAGATCGAGCAATTGCACTCCAGCCTGGGTGACAAAAGCAAAACTCTGTCTCAAAAAAAAGAATAACATCTGTAGTACTCTATACTACGTAACTTATAAAAGCATCATTTCACTGTGTTTCAGAATAAGACATGGAATGGGAGTAGGAGGAGCAAGTTCGATTCATGAATGTTTAATAATTGCACCTAAAGTAATAACAGCCCTTAGTAATTTTTTTTTTTTTTTTTTTTTGAGACCAAGCCTCGCTCTATCACCCAGGATGGAGTGCAGTGGTGCCACCTTAGCTCACTGCAACCTCTGCCTCCCAGATTCTAGTGATTCTCGTACCTCAGCTTCCTGAGTAACTGGGATTACAGGCACGTTCCACAAGGCCCAGCTAATTTTTTTTGTATTTTTAGTATCACCTCGGCCTCCCAAAGTGCTGGAATTACAGGCGTGAGCCACTACGCCCAGCAGTAATTTTTAATATAGTATCAAATATTTAACATACAAGCAGCATAAAGAATAATAGGGGAGGCTGAGGTGGGAGTATCACTTGAGCCCAGGAGTTGGAGGCTGCAGTTAGTCATGATCGTGCCACTGCACTCTAGCCTGGGTGACAGCGAGACTTTGTCTCAAAAAGAAAAGAAGAATATAATAATGTAAGAGCTTAAACATTACCTAGACAGTTGAAGCTCCCCAGCTGTCTCTTCTCTGTTGCCTCTTCCTCCTCCCTCTGAAGATACCTACTATTCTAAATGGAATATTAAGCATTCTATTCCTATACATTAACCATAATAGGTTTCTGTTCCTAAACAGCATATATGGTTATTTTGCATGTTTTATTTTTTACTCTTTTTTTTTTTGAGACAGAGTGTCACTCTGTTGCCCAGGCTGGAGTACAGTGGTGTGATCTTGGCTCACAGCAGCCTTCACCTCCCAGGTTCAAGTGATTCTCCTGTCTCAGTCTCCCAAGTAGTTAGGACTACAGGTGCGCGCCACCATGCCTGGCTAATTTTTGTATTTTTAGTAGAGACGGAGTTTCACCATCTTGGTCAGGCTGGTCTGAAACTCGTGACCTCAGTTGATCCACCCACCTTTGCCTCCCAAAGTGCTGGGGTTACAGGCGTGAGCCACTGCACCCAGCTGATTTTGCATTCATTCAGCATTGTTTCTAAGATTTATCTGCATTGACATGTATAACTTTATTGATTTTTCACTGCTCTACAGTATTTTATTATATGGCAGTGGCACCATTTATCTTTTTCTTCTATTGATGATTTTATTTATTTTTTTCTCCAGTTATTGATTCTTTTGAGTGTTTCCAGTACATGCTCTCTGTATATATGTACAAGGTGTTTCCTATTCCTGATTCTAGGAATAAATTTGCATAGACTGTAGGATATACGCTGCTTTGGCTTTACTTGATATTGCAGAATTCTTTTCTGGGCTGGTGTTTTCTTCACTAGCTCTTTAGCCACTCTTTAGATCAATGACTTGTGGGTTTTTTGTCCCTTGGAGGTGCCCCAAATCAGGTGGTGATAAGAGCAGAGCCCCAACTCTGTGCCTTGTGTGTGGATCTCTGCTGTGCTCCCAGAGTTACTGCTGCCAGACTGAGCTGGAAGGGGAGGATGTAGGAGCCTGCACAGCTCACACCTACTCCTGTGGCTCTGGAGTGGGCATCTTCCTGAGGTAAGGACCTGCAGGGGCTTTTTGGCTTTGGATCTGCCTCAGTATCTGACTGTTAGGGTGTCACAGGAAACTATTGCATTGCCAGGAATTTTGAGAGCACTGTTCTGTGTTTGATTCATTCCAGAAACATGGAACTCCTCATCTCCTCACATCTCACATTTGGCCCGTGCCAACTCTGTGTTGGTTCTTTTATTGTCACCATTCCCACTCCTCTTCCCTCAACCATAGGCGACAGTTCTGTTCTACTTTCTTCACGTCTCCCGCTAACATGAAACCTCTGATTTTGTGTACAAATCCAGTCAGAATTACTTTCTGTTGTGTCCTCATGTCCTCATGGCTTTTGGATTTTACCTCCATTCGTACATATTATCACAACTCTACATGCCAGCTTGTGATTAGTGACTACTATGTACTAGGCATTGAGAATGCAATAGCCCGCAGTGCAAAGATCTCTGCCCTCATGGATGGAGCTCGTGTTCTAATGAGAGAGAGGACAAGCAAGACTGACAAGAATTTAGATAGTGACACATGCTAAGGAGAAAAAATAAAGCAGGGAGGGGAATATGAAATGGCAGCTGTGGAGCTAAATTTGAGATTTAATTTTAGTAGATCAGGGAAGGCTTCCTAAGAACATGACTTCTGAGTAAAGCCCTAAAGAAGCGGGAGAACATTCTACTCAGAACATTCTGCACAGTTCCTGGGGTAGAAATATGCCTGCCTGCTCAAGGCAAGGAGGCTCGTGTCACTGGAGTGCTGTGCACAGGTGAGAGAATCCAGGGCCTGCTGTGTGCTGGTGACATCTCTGGGCGAGGTGGAAGCCATTCCAGGGTTTGAAGCAGAGGTGTGACATGAGTGTGGGCTCCTCTGGAGCTTAGGTTGTATCCGTAGCTTAGTCATCCCCCCAGGACCTTGACAATTTCGTATACATATTGGGTCCTCAATAAATATCTGTTTAATTGCACTGAACTGTTAATGCCAGAAAAATGCAAATCTCTCAAAGGAATCAGGGGCCACAAATTTGTCTCGATTCAACCTATTTCCTAGTTTGTGCACATTTTTTAATGGGTAACTTCCTCATAATAGTGGTTTAAATAGCAGTACTATAAGACTTCATTCTATTTGGAACTGAATACAAACATTGGTTACTAATGTATAAATGTATAACGTTTGGATGATCTCTCTACAGAGTACGGGAATGTCAGGTGCTATTTTTAGCCGGGAAAACCAAAGGCTGTTTTTATTCTCCTCCTTACCTTGATGACTATGGGGAGACCGACCAGGGACTCAGGTAAGAACCCATCCTAGTCAGCTGACTCAGGGCCCGCAGCACCCTTCAGGATGTGTTGACGTCCTGAGGGTGGAGGGCTGAGGTGGTTCTGGAAGAGGTGGCTGTGTTATCAGTGGAGTCTTCCAGCAAGGGTGCCCTGGCAGCCTGGTGTGGTGGTCTTTTCCCAGCCTTCAGAATGCCATGAGGAACATCAGGATAGGTAAGGGAAGAGAATAGGACAGAGTACAGCTTTATTCTATTTATCACTCCAAAGAACTGTTTGAATTGCCATATGGCATCCCAGCTCAGAGCACTCCAGGGATGGCCCACTCTGACTTGTGTGGCCTTGTATAGAGGAGGCCTAGTGTTTGAGAAAATCTTAATTGCTAACAAATGTGCTCATTATACTAAAATCTGGGGGACAAAGATTTAAAACATAGAACAACAGAACAATATTTGAGGCTAAGTTACTTCTACTCTGGTAGCTTTAGTGTATTGTAAGCTAACAATTCCCTTCCCCCAAGCACTACTAAAGAACTTCTTTTAGACCATCTCTTTTGTCTAAAGGAGATAGAAGTTTTAACCTCCATAGATATACCTGTCCAGCCTTGAGTAGCAGATGTTGAAGGCCTAGAAACCCAAGCAAGGTAAGTAGATGAGCTGCCCCAGGCGCTGGACTGCGAGGCTCTGCCCATGTGCCACCCAGTGATGGTGTCCCCCACTGTTCTCAGCATGGGCTGTTAGAGGAGGGGAGTCTGGTTAGTGAGTGAGAGGAGGATGGCTGTGCTCAGAAACAGGAGCAGAGGTACCTGGCTCAGGGCACTGGTCCCAGGCAGGAAGCCACCAAAGCTTGCACTTGTGTTTAAATTGGACCTGGAAGTTACTCTCAGTTGATTGCTTCACTGAGAGTGTGGCTGAAAGATTGCATCCGGGGAACGTTTCTTTTCTTTTCTCTTTTCTTTTCTTTTCTTTTCTTTTCTTATCTTCGCGCTCTTAGTAAAATCTATGAGGAACATTATTACTCGTATAATTCTTTCACCCTCTCCTCTGCCCCCTTTCCTTTTTACGTGTTACCAACAAAATGGACAATGAATTGGTAGTTTTAGCCTCTCAACCCAGACCCTCCTGATCCCCCGCAACCTCTATTCCCTCACCTCATTCTGAGTAAGTGTGGTTTGTGTATCTTTCCTTCCTCTTTCAGCATTTATTCCCTTTTACCTGCTCTTGGCAAACAGAGCTAGTATTTTTGTTAATAGCCACAGTCAGCTGCCACACAGAAATGTTGCAGGGAGTCTAAAACCAATAACTTGTAACCTAGCCTAAGTCAGGAGGGGTTGGGTTATAATGGAATAAACAGAACACATTCTGAGTTACATGTGTCTTCTCTTTCTAGACGGGGAAATCCTTTACATTTATGCAAAGAGCGATTCAAGAAGATTCAGAAGCTCTGGCACCAACACAGTGTCACAGAGGAAATTGGACATGCACAGGAAGCCAATCAGACACTGGTTGGCATTGACTGGCAACATTTATAATTATTGCACCACCAAAAAACAGAAACTTGGATTTTTTTAGCCCAGTTGGCTTTTTAAGAAAGAAAGAAGTTCTGCTGAATTTGGAAATAAATTCTTTATTTAAACTTTCCTTCCCAGTTTTATAGTTTCTGGTTCTGAGGACTGATGAAAATCATCTTCCATCAGCAGATTTTCTTGCACTGTTTGCTGTGCCCCTCAAATATAACGTCTTGGGTTTTAAGATCGAGCAAGGAGCTTCTTTTCCTAGATTGGATCCCAGCCCCTTTGTGGGGGTCTGACTGCATAGTCCCAGCCATTATGTGATATTTCACGTTATTGATGATAGTGAACTGTGGGTCTGAAGCTGATTCAACGGAGGCAGGAAACAAAGTCTCTGTGGTCTGTTGGGTCATACTTCCTGGTTTCACTGAGTGGCCCAACACTGGGACTGGGTTGGTGTCCCCTCCGCTGACAGAACCTACTCCTAGGAGCAAAGTGGTTGATTGTGAAGGCAGTGTTCCCTTCTCTCCGTTGACTAGGAGAGAGCTGGGGGACACGCATGCGGAAGAAGCCCGTGGGGAGAAGGTGGCTTGCTACTGTGCTGGCTGGTTTTTCAGGGCTGTTGGAGGGTTTTTTTTTTTTTTTCTTTTTTTTTATGGCAAGACTTTTGGCTTTGAGAAAACTCACTTAAAGGGCTTTCCAAAAACTTAGGGTGATCTTAAAAATTAGGATATTCTTTTAGAATTAGGAAGAAAAATTAGGATATTCTAAAAGAGTATGGACTAAAAATTTAGGATATTCTTCGAGAATATCCTAATATCCAGATGAGAAGCCTTCATTCATAAGATCTGGTTGTTTGGGCTGTGGCTGACATAATTGATGTTTATTTTGGCCTCTGTCACATCCAGTTTCTTTAGCTTTTAAGGTAAGCTTCTTTTGGCTTTTTTTCAGATGTTCACCAAGCTTAAGTTTAAAATAGTAGGTATTCTAAAAGAGTATTCTAATTTTCTTATCTATATTCTTTTAGAATATCCTAATGTTTCAGACAGTAATATTCTCTTGTTATTTCTAAGGCTAAATTGGCAGAGTATATCATCTAAAGTCAAACACTAAAGAAGGTGAGAACCCACTCCCATCCAGCCAGCATTTCCTGGAACAGACAAGCTGCTGCTTCCTTGCTGGCTCACTTAGTGCATTCCTGGGATGGTCTGGCACCCAGGCTTTTTATTCTTTTTGAAGATTGTTCTTACTGAGGTGCCTTCCTAGAACAAGAGCCACTTACAAAATGGCTTATAATTATTATGTACCACACAACTACTATTGTTTGATGTATGATTGCTGAGAGCTTGAATACATGCAGAGAGTGACTGAAGACTTAGTAGAGGAATAAATTCTGAGCCTGTCTAAGGTGGGGCTAAGGAACAAGTGAATAATAAGAGGCTCTTGGATTTTTTTAACCAATGCAAGTGACCCTTTCAATCAGTTTTCTTTGGATTACAAGTTTTGTTCCACTCAGCTACCAGTCAGCTAGGCACTGTTTCACAGTATAGCAGGAAGAAGGTCAGAAATCCGGACCTGAGGCTAAAATAAGTGAGGATATAGAAGCCACGTTCCTCTCCAAGGTAGTATGTGAAAGAACCGCCCCCTCTTGAGAGGAGGATGACCCGTCACCATTCTTGCTTGGGACTGACTCACCCAGCTGAGAGGAGAACCAACAGGAAGAAAATTCACATTTGAATCCAGCTCTCTCCCCCTTTTTCTGGCCTTCATAAGATCTGGTTGGTTGGGCTATAGGTGGCATAATTCATGTTTATTTTGGCCTCTGTCACATCCAGTTTCTTTAGCTTTTAAGGTAAGCTTCTTTTGGCTTTTTTTCATATGTTCACCAAGCTAAAATTTAAAATAATAAGACCAGGTTTCTCTCTCTACAAGCGGATTATAAACATTTTCACCAAATCAAAACAATACTCAGCTTTCCGGCCCGACTTCCTAGGAGCCTGGAGTTAGCAAAGGGTGTCTCTGGATTCCATTCTCTGAGAATATCACCGAGCCTGGGAGAAGATGAATTTACATGAAATTGCAACATACACACCTTTTTATTTTCTGGTGTTGAGGTAGTTGTCTTTCCTACCTTACAAATCATGTTAGTTTTATGATTTGTTCTGCATGTTTTATGTTTATTGTAGAAATGTTTATATAACATGCTTTCCGTATCAGGGAAAATCATATCTGTTTAATAAATTGGCTATAACTTTAATATCTGTGGACAACTTGTAAAATTTGGAATGTATCATATGTAAAAAGTTTAAAGATATCCAAATAAATGCTTTAGGTGTTGGCATTACTTTTCGTTAGCATATATCTTTCTGTTTCGTTTTACACACTCACCTGCCACAGCAGTGTGCCCCGTGTCACCTTGCTACAAATATAGTGGGATATCTGTATTAGCTTTAAATTTAAGAAGCTTATATTATTAGTGTCAATTATGGCCATTAGCCAAACTATCTTGACCTTCCCAGATAAAGTGTGATCATCATTTCAGCTGATTAATTTCATATTCATTAGCCATGACAGCGTGTGACCTTTCTGGACCATTTTGGAACTCAAATCACTGGGAAACAGGGCACTCCAAGACCTGTGTCTGGGTTTAAACTCCTGTTCATCCTTACCTGGTGATCTCAAGGTCCTTGTCCTTACATACTCCCCACTTCCTGCTTTTGAGAGAGAGATAGGAAGGCAGCTACGCTGTCTTCCTAGGGGAGTCATTGTCCATGAGAATTCTGTTTTTGTGAAATCCTCTTGAGAGCATCAAACTAAAACAGCAAGGTTTCCATTGCACTCGCCCTGCCTCCTGGTCATTAACGCTGCTCCCAGCCTACTGCCTTCACTACTCTTTGTCTTTAGTTCCAGGAACTCATGAAGCCCCTTCTGACTCGTTCCTCCCTCTCTTCCTACTCTTGGTTTTGGTGGTGGTGGTTTGGTTTGGTTTTTTTTGAGAGACAGGGTCTTGCTCTGGCCCCCAGGCTGGAGTGCAGTGGCACAGCCTTGGTTCTTTGCAGCCTCAACCTTCTGGGCTTGAGCAATCCTCCCACCTCAGCCTCCCCAGTAGCTGGTACTACAGGCACATGCCACCACGCCTGGCTAATTTCTGTGTTTTTTGTTTGTTTTTTGCTTTTTGTTTTTGTTTTTTTGTAGATATGGTCACGCTGTGTTGCCCAGGATGGTCTTGAACTCTTGGGTTCAAATGATTCTCAAGCCTCAGCCTCCCAAAATGCTAGGATTATAGGTGTGAACCACTGTGTCTGGCCTGTTACTGCTCTTGTTTTTTAAGTCACATTTATTGAGGTATATTTTACAAACAGATTAACTTTTTAGTGTACAGTTTTATACATTTTAACAAATGCATACAGTTTAACAACCACAATCAAGAAATAGAACAATTCTGTCATCCCCAAAAGTCCCCTTTGTAGTCAGCTGCTTGCCTCATCCTGGCTTCCAGCTACCAGTGCTTTTCTCTCCCTTTGTTTTGCCTCTTCCTGAATGTTATATAAATGGAATTGTATCGTATGTAGCATTTTGAGTCTGGCTTCTCACTAAAGAATGCATCTGGGTCCTCCCTGTTGTTCCTTTGGATTGCTGAGTAGCATTCCGTTGTAGACTTCTGGGCAGTTGCCAGATGAAGGGCATTTGGGTGAGTTTGGATGATTGTTTTGGTGATTGCTGCAAACATTCATGGATAGGTTTTTGTACAAACCTGAATTTTCACTTCCCTCAGGTAAATAGCTAGAAGTTGTCACTTACATCTTAATCCTCTTGACGCCATCCTGAGAGCTCAGCATTCTCTAATCTCTAACTTTGCTGTTTACACTCCTCTGTGATGGACAGGATAAAATGCTGTCAGGAGTTAAGGTCTGACATGTTTTTGCCCTTCCAGCCAATCTATCCATTGTGACCTGGGAAGGCACCTCTCTCTTCCCTGGACTTTCATATTATTCGACAGACACTTTTCTCTTCCTAACACGGTGCTGCTGCCTGCCTGCCTGCGCTGTCATTGAGAGCCATCTTTTTAGCCAGTAGTGGATGAAAAGCCCTTTGTTGGTCCACGATTGCCCCTGGCTAAGCTGCAAACATGCTGGCTTAGCATAACAGGTGCCCGAACGAGGAGGGGCAGGGGAGTGTGCAGAGCGGGCACCTAATCTTATTAACCCATATTAAGGTTACTAGGGGTTTATTTACTGGCAGCTCAGTCCTGGGCTTGAAGCATGTTGTAAAGAAGCTGTGGGTTCTGGAACTGAGGCCAAAAATTCCAGGACACAGCTTCCCAAATATTCAGGATAGTCATCACCTGTTTCTTCACTATGGAGTGAGCATTTTAAAAATGAAAGTCCTAAGGCTCTGTCTTTACCCCTCACCACTGTCCCAGGGCTATGCTGGCAGAACTTTAAAAGCTGGCTGGGCCAGGTGCAGTGGCTCACTCCTGTAATCCCAGCACTTTGGGAGGCCAAGGCAGGCAGATCACCTAAGGACAGGAGTTCGAGACCAGCCTGGACAACATGGCGAAACCCCATCTCTACTAAAAATATAAAAATTAGCGGGGTGTGGTGGCCAATGCTGTAATCCCAGCTAGTAGGAAGGCTGAGGCAGGAGAATCACTTGAACCCAGGAGGCAGAGGTTGCAGTGAGCTGAGATGATGCCATTGCACTCCAGCCTGGGCAACAAGAGCAAAACTCCATATTTGGGGGGGGAAAAAAAAAAAGGCTGCCTGGGTCCCTCAGGAGAAAAGGATTTACACCAGCCCAACGAAAGACTGAAGTTACACACAAGCAAAAACCTGATAGTAGAGACTTCCTGGGCACTGGTAGGTGACCAAAAGGGATGGTCCAGGTTTCTCTAGCAACTACTGGCTACCTGAGAAGACCTGTTAAAATGCAGTTAACCCTAAGCCTGCTCTGAACCAATGAATGAGATATATTGTAGGGTCAATGCACTCTTGGGCCTCTCAACAACCTTCAGATGCTCAGGTTGTTCACATTTGCCCCTATAACCTGGCCCCGTAGGGATATTTCCCTGTTTGAGGAAATAATGTTTTGGCCAGAGGAGAAGAAAAAATGGCTTGGAGTTTTGCCTAA